TCAGTCAGTCAGTCAGTCAGTCAGTCAGTCAGTCAGTCAGTCAGTCAGTCAGTCAGTCAGTCAGTCAGTCAGTCAGTCAGTCAGTCAGTCAGTCAGTCAGTCAGTCAGTCAGTCAGTCAGTCAGTCAGTCAGTCAGTCAGTCAGTCAGAGTCAGTCAGTCAGTCAGTCAGTCAGTCAGTCAGTCAGTCAGTCAGTCAGTCAGTCAGTCAGTCAGTCAGTCAGTCAGTCAGTCAGTCAGTCAGTCAGTCAGTCAGTCAGTCAGTCAGTCAGTCAGTCAGTCAGTCAGTCAGTCAGTCAGTCAGTCAGTCAGTCAGTCAGTCAGTCAGTCAGTCAGTCAGTCAGTCAGTCAGTCAGTCAGTCAGTCAGTCAGTCAGTCAGTCAGCCAGCCAGCCAGCCAGCCAGCCAGCCAGCCAACCAATCATTATATTATTTATATTTTAAATCTCATCTATAAATCCTCAATGTTTAAATGTTTGTTACGGATTCATTCAAATAACAACAACGACTCAATGATTTTTTGTCTTTTAATTTTATTGAAACAATTTAAAAATTTAAATGTTAAAAACAAATTATTATAAGTCATAAAACATATGTCAGAAATTATTATAAGTCTTAAAATGTACGTCAGAACATCTATCTAATTATATTGATATTATCATATATCGTCCAGCCGCCTCCAACATTCAATCAACTTTTTGTTTGTATTATCACATGCACCCCTTAGAAGTTCTCGAAGGATAATCATCCGCGTAACATGAACACTTAGTAAGAACAGTTCACAGCATATCATAATAGCTAAGTCAACATACCAAACAGAAATTATTTTTACATGCATATATACAAAGTAAATCAAGAAATACCAAAAATTATATAACCAAATTTTAAAAAAAACTAGAAACCAGTCAGCATTTAATAAATAAAAAGTCATTATTAAAAAAATTGTTCAAAAAAGTTAAATTTAAAGCGACCTCGAAAAATAAATTTAGTATGTTTGTGGGTGTGATGATGTGAAGCAAAAACAAACACATAACAAAAAAATAGTTAAAAGTCGTAAGAATAGTATTCAGTCACCTACTTACAATTAAATTACTCTCAGGGCCCTAGCTTACCTATAATGATTAACTCATCTCACCTACCTACAAATTTTTATTTAAGTTTTAGGTATTGTATTTTACATATTTTAACGTTTTTAATTTACCTTTTGTGTATAATTTTTATTTTTTTATTGTTAGAAACTTTTTAACTAATGTTAAGCCCTAGCTTACCTACGATTGTTCAACTCATCTCAATCCCTAACTTACCTACAAATTAAATTAAAGTCCGGTAAAGAAAATAGCAAGTTGAAGAGAAACATAACAACAAGAGCAACACAGAAAATGGATTTTGCGTATGTGTGTGTTGTATTGATGTGTGTGTGTAAATGTTCGCGTGTGTACTCTCCAGAAACTTCTTCACTCAATACGGACGAACCTCCACCGACTATCATCTGAAACGCGTCATGAATTTGACCGGGTACTGAGAAACACTGAATCTGAAAAAAAAAATTTTGTTAAATAAAAAACCAAGCCATTGGAAAAAGGCAATAAGCAACTTATCTTACTGAGATAACAATCCACCCAATCACTCCAAAACATTCCAATACTTTGTTCAAATTCGGGTACTTTCTAAGGTACGACGGCAAAAAATTTTCCGTTAACATTTATCATTGTTTTCTTCGAATTGTCATCGAACGATCATCATGAGTCCACTATCTGAAACGTTCTGACGCCCACCACAGCCCACCTCTCATAATTCTGTAGACAAGTTTTTTTGATTAATAAATAATAAATGATTAACTGAATGATTGAATGATTGGTTGAATTAATTAATTAATTAATTAACTAATTAATTAATCAATCAATGATTTAATGAATGGACTGAATCAATGAATCTTTTAATGGAAGAATAATTTGAATGAGAAAAATAAAAAAAAGAAACAAACCATACTTCAAAAATCGTCGTTGTTTTCTTCAAATTATCATCGGAACGATCGTCATGAGACTACCATCTGAAACGTGCTGACGCCCACCACAGCCCACCTCTCATCATTCTGTAGAAAAGTTATTTTTATTAGCTTAGTAGTGAATCAAGGAACGAACGAATAAATGGTTAACTGAATGATTAAATAATTAGTTATAAGAATGAATGAATGAATAGAATGAATTAACGTCAATTAATGAAAGAATAATTTGAAAGATTGAGTGAAAAATGAATGAATGAGAAAAATAAAAAAAACGAAACTAAACCTTCCTTACTTCAAAAATCTTAGTTACTGTACTCTATTGCACCGACCACCATCATCTGGTCGGCGCACAAGATGCCATTCGAACTTCAAAGTGTCAGTCGAACAACCAGCGCGCTGATTCTTCCTACACCACCACCCTCCTTATACGTAAATCATCACGAGAGACCACCATCTGAAACGTGCTGACGCCCACCACTGCCCACCTCTCATCATTCTGTAGACAATTTTTTTTTATTAGCGTAGTAAATGTTAGAATCTTAAAAGCAAAAAAATTTAAAATGAAAATAATGGCAAATAAATAGTATTTTAAAATAAAAAAGAGAGTAAAGTGTAAAAAAAACTTACCGTCGTCCATTCGACAAAGGCAGAATGTTGAATTTAGTCCGGTTCCTACGTTGTCCTCCAGTCTTCCCGAGATTGTTGATGAAACACAGCCCGTATTGAGGAAGAAAAATAAAGAGAAGATTCTCATCAGAAAGCTTAGCAGTGCCTGCATCTCAAATTGCTTAATAAAAATAATCCTATCTACCTATTCAATTACCTTAACTAATATATATTAAATTAATAATGGTACGATAGTCGAAAGTCCCCCTTCATTCTCCCTCCTTGCACAGAGGTTCACCGACAGCCAGGGCACCGGATAGTAAACCATTGCCGTGCGGATAGTAGACTATTGCCGTGCGGATAGTAAACCATTTGCCGTCCGGAAACCGTGCGGGTAGTAGACTATGGTCGTGCCGCATGGTAAATCATAACCGTGCAGATAGTAAACCATTGCCGTCCGGATAGTAAACCATTGCCGGTTCACCACTGGCCACCAAGGCTTACCTCTGACAAGAGACTTTGAAATCCAGAGTCAATCGGCTATCGTACCCTCAACTTACCTATTCATTACAATTAAGCCCTAGCTTACATAAAATTATAAAACTCAAGAGCCCAATTCATTTAGCCAATCGGCACCCACCCCACCACCTACGTAATGCCTTGGGCTCCAACTTAGTAATAATAATATAAAACTTAAACCCTAAATCTATTAATGAGTATGTGTTACAACGTAGCCTTAACTTACCTATTCATTACATTACGGTCCTAGCTTACCTAAAATTACAAAACTCAAGAGCCCAATTCATTTAGCCAATCGGCGCCCACCCCACCACCTACGTAATGCCTTGGGCTCCAACATAATAATAATAATGTAAAACTTATATTAGCCTACCTATCGATACACTTACAGCGTTTTAATTTACATTACAAGATTGTTCCTAGAATTACATTATTGCCCTTAATTACCTATGAAATTAAATTACTCTCAACCTTAGTAATAATAAATTAGAATGTGTAATGGAAATAAAATTACGCTCAAATACTAACATATGTGTTTATGTATGTATTTGTGTGTGTGTGTGTAATACGCTGATGCGTGTAATGTTGGTGCAAGAAAAAACAGAAGAGATAACTTACGCGCCTACCTACCTATTCAACTA